GTAATAATAGACTTATGGATGAAGAATCACCGGATAAAGGGCTAGTTCGTAATGTGATTGGATGTTTTTATCACGTGGTCCTCGGGGCTATGGAACACATTCACACTTCCCCAGAACATTTTCCGTCTCACACACACATCCTGCTCCACCCTCGGTCCAGACCACATGATATCTTATGGCTGGTTTGATATTCTGGAGGATGAATCACATCCATCCATAATCGATACCGCTCACAGTGTCACTGACCCACCTGATGAACCACAGTGATCCCCTCTGATTCTGCTTTTCACACAACGAAATGTTCTGATTTTCCAGGACGCGCATGATATTAAATGAGTCGTGGCTGAAGTGAAAGTGGGCAAATTTCACACACTCATAGGTATCAGTTCCCCAAACACATAACGTTTCCCTGGGGAAATAGTTAAAATGTTGAAAAATATCTCACCATGTTAAAGAAAGTGAAAGTTCGTTGATCTCCTAATTTTTCCCTGACCCATAGCACATCCTTTAGTTTTTGTGAATCTTGGTTTCAAACAAACCAACAAATGAATCTATAATATTTACCAACTATGTGACGGAGATATTATCAGGAATCAGGAAACTTTTTAAAGCCCCGACATCTGTAGCTCATTCACAGCAGCTCGTTGGTCCTTTTCTGTGAGAAGCAGATAGTTTGCCGATGAACCAGAGGAGAGAAGTCCTCTGGTTATGTGTCGGTCAGGTGCTAACCAGCTGACTGAGGCAGCTCTATCTCTGGCCGGCTTCAGTCGAAGCTGCTTTTGATGTCGGCCATCGGGGCCCGAGCTGTGCTGCTGTTTTGAGGAGGGTGAGTCAGACTGTAATGGACCTTCTTGCTCCTCCTGCCTGCCTACCTCTAAGATTTACCACCCACCTTATCTATTCAACGCAAACTCCATCACGTAACTGAAGACTGGCACAAACACACACTCTCTCCATCGTTTATCTCTCGTCCTCCTCGCTCCTTCTCTGTCGCCCTCTGTCCCTCCTCCCTATATACACTCTCTGACCCGGGAGAAACATGAATAATAAGTTGCAGAAATCCATTCAGGCACTTTAATTGATTAGACATTTAAAGGATGAGGCTGCTGATGCCGTCAAATCCCTGAAAAACACCAAGAGCAGCAATGAATTGATTCTAAACACAAGAATTGTGTGTGTATCCAAAGCCTGACAGAGTTTAGAGCTCCATTGTTGTTGTCGAGCTTGGCCCTGTAATTTATTTCAAGTCAGTTCTGCTGCCGTAATAAACCACGGCTGAAAATAGCACCAAACTAATTCACTCACGATTTGTGAAAAAACTACAAGACCCAGTTGTATTTAGGAAATTAATGAGCCTTTAAAATAATGAAACCATACTTGAAATGATTTGGTCTAAATCTTTAGCAAGAACTACAGGCATTGAACTCACTGCCACAGATAGATGGGTGGCACGGTGGAGCAGTGGTTAGTCACAGCGAGAAGGCTCAGGGTTCTAATCTGACTTCATGTTTTTTTCTGGGAACACTGGTTTCCTTACAACAGCCCAAAGACATGCGTTAATTGGAGACAGAGGGTCGTCCTCTAACCATTACACCGGTAGTTTGATCCCCAGTTCTTCTGACCCGCACTCCTTGGGCAAGACACTGAATCCAAATCGTCCCTGAGACTGGAAATATAGCAAGATTAATATAGTTATAATAATTTAAATCCAATCTTTTTGATAGACAGGTTTATTAATATTATATCCCTAGAGGTGGTTTTGCTCCTGTCCGAACAAAATGTGTTGGAACGATGTGACATGGGTTCAAGGAAGACATTTTTTCTAACTAAGCTTTTTTGACATTTTGAGCAATTTCCCTTGGAAGTAATTCATGGGTCTTCATGAAAACACAAAGGGGTGTTTAGATATTTATGTGTGTGAGCAATTTCTGGTGCAGATCCAAATAAAAATCTGGATCTAGGAAATGTGAATGTGTCCTCATGAGGGGTCTAATGGTCCCTGTCGGAGGTGTGCGCTCTCTTATCTATTAGTAAACATGTATTTACAGCAAACACGCCTCTATTGCCGTCGAAGTCGAGGGAGAAGATAAGAGTTCAGATTTGATGACGGTGCAGGAACCTGATTACAGCAAAACAGCCATGACTCATTTCAAGTCATTACCTTTTCTGTAGCTACTTACTTTGTTTTGATACCAGTGACTTAAGATAAATACTTTTTATTTAATCTGGACTAAGTGATGTGTGGTCTGTCTTGGAGTTGCAGGTTTTTCATCTTCTATCAACTCTGTTGCTTGGCTGTAAAACATAACGTCAGTCGATATCAGCAGAGAAATAATGTTGAATCAGTCTTTGCAGGAAGATTCGAGTATATTTTTTAATGAAGGAAAACATCAGCCACAGGAACATTTAGATTTATTATGTTGCTCTATAAACCCGCTGTGCAAATTACATAAGATTAGATTTTCAAAAGACAGAAATTGCATAAGATCCTGTTGCTGTTGCGTATGCTAGCTGTGTAGCTCTGCATCCACTGTGAGAAGAGATGTCTGGAATTTTAACCGTGTTTCTGAAAAACCAGACAAAGGAATGAAACAAGAATCCTTCGACAAACTCGCACATCCACCAACTCCCACATCAGCCTTCAGAAATGTCTTCGGCCTGACCTTAGATAACCCATCGCCGCGCTCCCCACAACCCTCATGGAAAGCAGATAATCATGAACTGCTCTTCCTCCTCCTCTTCCTCCTCCCATCATTTCCTCTCCTTCTCCTCCTCTGTGCCAACTCCACTCTCCTCCACTTCCCATCCTCTTCTCCTCCTCTGCACCTTATCCTCCCCCTCCTCTTCCTCCCCTCCCTCTCCTCCCTCTCAAGCTTGTTCAGCCACCGTGAGTCATCCTCACCTGGTGAATAATTAAAATGTCTGAGACTCTGCTCCGTCTGGCCATGGAGGAGGAGGTGGAGGAGGAGGGGTGATACCTTGCTCAGTGTTGCCTGAGGGGGAGTGTTATGGGCAGGATTACGAGCAACTGCCATCCATCCGCCCCTCACTCACGCGCGCACGCACCGGAAACAACTCCCCCGGCCGCCCTTCACAACATGGCTGCCATGTTTTCCTGGAATACCTGACACAGTGGAGCAGTAGTGGCTGCACGATTTAACGCGGGATGTGTAATCGCTTCTGCCATTTGGAGAAGTATGAGTTTTACAATTCCACGAGGAGCGACGCAGCTTTCCAGACACGTTTGGCATCAAGTCACCCGCAAGTTAATTGAGTTAGTGGCACTTAAGACGAAGCATGTTTGGGTATTTAGTCTCTTACTTCAGGGGCCTGTGCTATTATAGTTGCCAGCGTCGGGTAGTTTTTTTGCATTTCCCATCACCAGAGTTGCATCAGGTCCATTCTTTCACAGCATGACACACAACTGGAGGAATATTACATCAGTTTGTGAATTATAGACATAATAGAGTCGTCGGTCTCTCTCTGATTGTGTGTGTGTTGTGTTCGTGCTAAAATAATCTGACTGGGGAATATGGATGAAAACGTCTTTTATTACATTGGGCCGCAGCCGGGCTCAGAGCTCAGTGCAGCAGAACTGTTTGAACTCGGCAGACGCTCGTCACCCACTTTCAGGTGTATCGGCCACTTTTTGCTGATTGTTGAAGTATTGTTTAATATATTCATCGCATTTCTTTTTCATTCTGCGATGTATAATTAGCATTCCTGGGAAAATGAAGCCTGCTTGCACCAGCACTTTGGTGTGATGTGTGTTAAAAGATTACATCAAGAGCAATATCAGCTCATTGTGTTCTGTCCCCGCGCTCTGAATCCGCACTGGACTCCTTTACCGAACACATGCAACACGCACTGATGCACCGCTGCACTGTACCTGCACACAGTGAGGACATTTCTGTCTCATCCTGCCCGTCGACTATATATGATACATACAGCCCTGACTCACTGTGCTTATTGCTCGAATGCTGCAGAGTGTGAAATGAGCTGCTGTACTCGCCCGGTTCTGACCAGCAGCGATATTTCTCCCAGCGGCGCCCTCTGAGAATCTGATCAAATAATGGAACAGAAAGAAGTTTACGAAAGAAATTTTAACAGTTTGTTTTAGCTCCTCTGTAATAACTCCAAATTCAGGATTCATCTCACACTGCAGTAAATTACTTTATGTTGACATGTAACGAACAAACTTGCCTCGGAAACCTCATATAGATGAAATATGAAGATATAAGATGTATAAAAGATTCACAGAGGAAAGTGGGTGAGTATTGCAGTTCTGTGCTAAGCAAGGGATATTTCATATTCTATATTGTTCACGAATTCTTTCATATTGTGGGGTAACTGTAAAAACTAATATTAGACCCTTGTATTTTTTCCAGAATCGAGCAATAAGAGAACATGTTGTGTATTTGTGTTATGTTTGTGTTATTTATATAAAAAGAAGCAGGTAATATAAGTTTCTACTGCTGTTTTTTTTCATTCATGGAATTTGCTTCTTGATAATAAAACTAAACCAACTGTAGCAGCCTGTGATTCACACACACTATAGACTGTGGTTGGAGTTGAGGTTGAATTACTACTCTGACTGCATTCTACTTTTATGGGGATTGATTGATCTCGGCCCGGCGCAGTGGAACCAATTAGATTCTCCCAAAAGTGTGAACCTTCCCCAACCTGCCCTGCAGACATGCTGAGGAACGCGTTCGGTGTAATTCACTGGATTTCAATTAGTAATCGACCCCGGTCTGGTGGTTCCCAATATTTCTGACATCACGATGTGCTGACTCTACTGCTGCTTCCTCTCCTTTTGTTGTGTTTCATTGAGCTGCACCTTTGCCCTGTGCTCTGACAACACTGCTGCCACACTCACTGCCTTTTCTGTCCTCCCTCCCTCATCACTCCTTTTCTCTGCCTCCACTTTCTCTCTCTCTCTCTCTCTGCCTTTCTCTCTCTCTCTTTTCTGTCTTTTGCTTGCTGTTTGTCTCAGCTTCTGCAAATAACACCCATGCCTGGCAATCCCAGTCACGTAAGTTACTTTGATTTTCGTCTGTTGCATTAAGTTGCTCTGCTTTCTGGAGCACACACACACACACACACACACACACACACACACTCCCCCCCCCAAGTGTTTGTGTCATTCATTCGTTTGGAATCTGGCGTGATTACCGTTTGCTGATATAACATTTACAGAGATGACACACCACACAGGAGCGAGCGTGTTCTTTTAATTCTCACAGCTCAGATCAGTTTAAAGGGACCGGTCCGAGGAGACGACACCCAGAAGCAGCCGCAGAGTAAATTTCACAAGGAATTTATCGCACCACTTTAGAAGTTCATACCAGATCCGTTTTACCCTCGTTAGCCTTTAATGGTCCATATGTTGTGCTGAAAAGATGCCCGACCTCTGGAGGACTTTAGTTGAACGACTCCCCCTAGTGAGTAAAATCAACAGTCGCTCCCTTGACTTTCTGCAGATTCTCCTCTGCAGCAGAACGAGGAGAAACACTTACATTAGATTGTTTGTAAATTAAAGGCGAGTGATCTCAATGGAATCTCAATAATATTTTACTTTGAGCTCAACACTAAACAAACGTATTCTTCAAAGTGAATTAACGGCGATCACACATCACATTAAACTTTGCTGTGACGTTTTAAATCAGGCGACTCCATAAATCTTTCACAATAACATACCTTTCACTGTATTTGACTATCATAGCTGTAATATTAATAACCAATTTCCTCATTCCCCGACCCGACAGTACGGTTTGCACCCTATCGGCCTCAAGACATCGCCCTCAAACCTCTGCTGTTCGAGGTGCCCAGCATCACCATGGACTCCGTCTTCACGGGCCGCGAGTGGCTCTTCCAGGAGATCGACGCCCACCTCAACAGCCCCAACGCCACCACCAACCGTGGCGTGGTGGTAGTCGGTAACATCGGCTTCGGAAAGACTGCGATCATGTCCCGCCTGGTGGCGCTCAGCTGCCACGGCACCCGCATGAGACAGATCGCCTCCGACAGCCCGCAGGCCTCACCCAAACGTAGGCATCCACACATTTCTAAACATGAAGTCCTCTAGAAAAGCTGGACAAGAGCTTGCAAGCCTTTGTTTTGAGATTGCATGAATGTGACACAAGCAAGCAACTGTCCCCTGAGCGTGCTGCGTTGTCTTGTCTTGTTATGTCCAGATGGAGAGGGGCTCCCTCTCACCCAGCCTCAGCCCACGCACGGCACCCTGGGAGGAGGCAGCTGTCCAGGGACCCCTGAGATGAGGCGACGTCAGGAAGAAGGCATGAGGAGGCTGGCGTCTCAGGTACACACACACACACACACACACACACACACACACACACACACACACACTTTTACTTCCAGAAGGATATAGGTGGAACATTTATTTCTAAATCCTTTAGATCTTTTCTTATGATCTATTAGTTTATTATCCCATTGCCTCATTTTATAAATGTGAATTATTCAGTTTCAGCCGTAGACCCAGAAAACAATTGTGTTTGTGAGGATGTTAAAATTCCCTGCTCTTATTTTATGACTGTATTTTACGAGAAGATAAGTGCACAATCCAAAGCCACTTACGAACATTTTTGCCTCACCCCATCCCCACTTCCCTTCTCATAACCCTGTGAAATAAAAACTTCTTTTTTTTTCATTTTAATCACAAAGTATTGTGTCAAGGGTCTAATAGTTTTTTTTTCTTTCATTTTATTCTTCATCAAAGGAAATTTAGTTTTAAAACCAAAATGCTCTTTTCACAATAAAAGGGAATACATGATTCAGTGTGAAATTTCTAAAATTTTCACTGTCGGCCTCTGACTGAAAATGCAAGATAATTAATTTCCTGTTTTTTTTTTACATCTTAAATTTGTCAGTTTGAGGCAACACAGGTGGAAGCCAATGATACGCTCTCTTACAATGAATGAAAATCGTCGTTTCACACCATCCGCATAATATCACAGACTCGGAACTTGAAAATAAGTCACGATAAATGAGCACTTTTCTCTCTTGTGCCCCGGCTACGTAGCGTCTCGTGACCTGCGCAGAACGTGAACCTATAAGATGTGTGAAACTGTCTGTTTTTCCCGCTCTTCCTCTCATCTGCTGTTGCGCCTCGGCCCCCCCCCCTCCCTGCTGCTCGGCCATCTGCATCCCCACTCCCAGCCTGATGCATTATGCAGATGTGTTTAAAAGAGAAAAAACAACTTTGCCAGGGAGCCTTATGAAATATTTATACCTGCAGAAAGCCATTTCCCAGCCAAGCTATTAGATCTTGTTAACTCTGTGCATTAATAATTGAGCTCACTCCCTTTTTCACCCCTTTTGTTTTAAAGCCCTTTTTTCCATTGTGGCCAAAAATTAGCATTTCCTTTTGATTAGCCTTTTTTTTTCTCGCTGCCCTCTGATCACTGCCACCGCCTCCGAAAAATCAAACTGTCTGTGATCTCTCAGTCCCTCGGAGCTCTCGGTCACACCTGCTGCTGGTGTTCGGTGGCGAACTGCTCCGAACAACCGCTGGGCCGCTCCTATTTTCCACACGTCCTTCCTCTGACAACCTTTCATTCATTTAAACATTAATTTAAGTACATGGCTGTGATTACGACAGTTTAACACTTGACTCCTTCTTGCCACAGACATCTCACACATGAGCATGCATGAGCTAACTCCAGCCGGAAGCCATGAATTATTAATGTCTGAAACCGTGCAGCGAAACGAGAAGTATTAAGTTTCATTATACTGCAATCATCCACCATGAAGTTGAGTCAATCCCACATGAGTTGTAGAAAACTGGCTTTGCACCGGCAGAGCCCTGAGAAATAAGACTTGTTTTTAAAAACCGTGTCCTCCGAGTCCTGTGCTCCATGACACTGATATCAATCTGTTCTGCAATATTCAAAGGTTGGTTGAGGTGAGGATTCACCAGAAGGGAACGAACTCACACTTTTACACTTGTCTGCTGGTTTATCATCTTCTCCCAACTCTCTGTCGCCCCCAGGTGGTGGCGTATCACTACTGCCAGGCGGATAACGCCTATACCTGCTTGGTGCCGGAGTTTGTGCACAATGTGGCGGCTCTGCTTTGTCGCTCGCCGCACCTCGTCGCCTACAGGGAGCAGCTGCTGAGGGAGCCGCACCTCCAGAGCATCCTGAGCCTGCGCTCCTGCGTCCAGGACCCGCTGGCTTCCTTCAGGAGGGGGGTCCTCGAGCCCCTGGACGTACTTTACAAAGGTGAGAGAGCAGCAGGTGAAAATAGTGTTGACTCCCAGAGTCTCCACTTTTCAATCAGTGAATGGTGAAAGTTTTTTACTTTCAATTCATGTTATAAATGAACAAATGTCAATTCTCTCGTGATTTCGATGAGGAATAAATAAAAGGGAAAAGTCTTGTAGAAATGATCTGCTGATAAAATTTACAATTTGAGCAGGACAGAGGTAAAATCAAGAGGAAGTGTCCACTGCCATTTTGATTTAACAATGCAAACCCAGTGATGTTTTGGTCAATTAGAAACGTGTGTTTAGACTCCACTCCTTCGTGCATATTGTCTAATACCTCCTGTTCGCCGCGTTCTCGGTCTCAGTTTTCACGCCGCTTGTTGTTTTTTCAGAGAGGAAGATCAGCTCGGAGGAGGACCTCATCATCCTCATCGACGGTTTGAACGAGGCGGAGTTCCACAAACCGGACTACGGAGACACCATCGTGTCATTCCTCACCAAAACTATCAACAAGTTCCCTCCCTGGCTAAAGCTGGTGGTCACAGTCAGAACCACGTTACAGGTAGAGGACAGTAAATCCACATCTTTCTCCTCTGCAGTGTTACTTCTGAATTCAGCTTTTATTTTTATTGTTTCCACTGCCAACACAGAGGGTTTTACATCAGCGTTTTCACTGGGTTATGTTTGCATCACCTGTGGGCCTCTCGCCAACAATATTGAATTTGTCTTGAATGTATTTCTGCCTTCTTTGTCTCTGACCTTTTCATCGTTCCTCTGTGAGCATTACGCAGACGACGCAGATAGAAGTGGCTTTAATCAGATTTTCTTTGGGTTTGGTTTCTGCCTCCTCTCTCCTTCCACTTCATCTTTTATTCATGAGGAAGAACTCGACTAGTTATTCACAGCATGTCACAGCATTTACCTGTGTTAGCGGGGATGTAGGCTGTTCTATTATTAAGATGATTTTGCCAAAAACAAGTCCCCTGACTGAAACGACTGTGATTCCTCAGGAGATCACCAACGCGCTGCCGTTCCACCGCATCTCTCTGGACGGCCTGGAGGAAAACGATGCCATCGACCAGGACCTGCAGGGCTACATCCTGCACCGCATCCACAGCAGCCCAGAGATCCAGAACAACATCTCGCTCAACGGCAAGATGGACAACACCACGTTCGGCAAGCTCAGCGCCCACCTCAAGGCTCTGAGTCAGGGCTCCTATCTGTACCTCAAGCTCACCTTTGACCTCATCGAGAAGGGCTACCTGGTTCTGAAAAGCTCCAGCTATAAGGTGCGGCGCCGCTGTTTGGTTCGTGATGGTTTTCACAGGCTCAGAGATGTAGAAAGACAGATGAGTGTGAAGATGTCACGAAATAACTGTCAATTGTAGTTTTGGCTGCTTTTCACCTGTTTGTAAGTTCGGTGAAGTTAGACTGCTGCGGAGCGCCTGGTGCCTGTTCATTAAGTTTATTAATAAAGAACATATCACCCTGTCCGAATCGCATCAACTCTGCACAACGGATGTCAACATACACATATTTTTAGATGTATTTCTTTCCCTTCCAAGTTTATTATTATGTGAGTCATGAAAAGAATCCATACAACAGTAGCAGCTCAAATCTTCCTGACAGGCAGACTCAAACCCCTTTTTGATAAATGCTGTTGAATTGCTTTTTTTTTGTGAGTATTTCATGATGAAATATTTTATCTCGCAGCTGCGGATTCATTTCTTTTCATGTATTCAGAAGTGCTTCTATTAAAAAAAACAACAAGTAATGAATTTCTGCTCTCATCTCTGACAATGAGGACTAGATGAAGATGTGCTTGACAAACACAATCCATTATTCATGTTGTGTAGCGGTGATCTGCATTGTGATTCACATTGTCTCCGTCCTGACCACAGGTGGTTCCAGTCAACCTGGCCGAGGTGTACCTGCTGCAGTGCAACATGCGCTTCCCCACGCAGTCGTCGTTCGAGCGGGCGCTTCCTCTGCTCAACGTGGCCGTGGCCTCGCTGCATCCGCTGAACGATGAGCAGATATACCAGGCCATCAACGCCGGCTCGCTGCAGGTACCAACAATTATACAGGACCTTTTCTTTAACCCTCGTCTGGTGGGTTTCTGCATGAATGTGTTAAAAGCAATGATGTTTTATAAATTAACACTGAGCCGATGTCTGTGGCTGCAGGGCATGCTGGACTGGGAGGATTTCCAGCAACGTGTGGACAACCTGTCTGTCTTCCTGGTGAAGAGGAGGGACGGCACCAGGATGTTCGTTCACCCATCCTTCAGGGAGTGGTTGATCTGGAGAGAAGAAGGAGAAAAGACAAAGTTCCTGTGTGATCCAAGGTGAGGACGGACAGGAGACACGGTGGATTATTTCCTGTGATGCTGAAAGTGAATAGGAGTGTATAAGGAGTTTATAATTACCCAGGGTGGAAAGAGGACGTCGGGGTGGGACAGAGAGAAGAGGGACCATAAAAAACAAGAACAAAATGCCCTGTTTTTCTAAGTTCAAATGATCCTGCAGGTTATATGAACGCCTCAAGAGAATCCTTTCAAAATTGCTGCAAATGTTCAGTTAGACTCATTTGTGCTGTAAAAAAATGTATGTAAACATCAGTAAAAGGCGGAGGGCTGCAACCACAGGGAGGTTATTCATGAAGAGAGATTTATGGGATCTTAATGATAAAGAAATTGTTTTATTTTTTGACTTTATGATATGATATGATATATTATATTTTATATTTCTGGAGAACTGAATCGTTGTGTGCTTGTCGTCTCTGCAGGAGCGGTCACACCCTTCTGGCCTTCTGGTTTTCTCGGCAGGAGAACAAGCTGAATAGACAGCAGACTATTGAACAGGGCCATCACATCCTCAAAGCACATATCTTCAAGGTGAACTATACGAGCCTCCACCTATATCTGCACTACACCTGCACAGCAGCGGTGGTTTGGAACCATAGTAATGAATGCATACTCTCCATCTCTTTGATCAAGGGTCTCAGCAAGAAAGTTGGGGTTTCCTCATCTATCTTGCAAGGCCTGTGGGTATCCTACAGCTCCGAGGGCCTTTCAGCTGCACTTTCTTCACTCCGAAACCTCTACACCCCCAACATCAAGGTACAGGCTGTAACATGGCAGAGAGGAGTTGTTCTGGGCGTCCACCTCTCTCAGGAGGAAGTTTGAATCCTCACACCGCCGTGTTACTTCATCTGTTTCCTCTCTGTCCAGGTGAGCCGGTTACTGATGATGGGCGGTGGCAATGTGAACTATCGTACGGAGGTGCTGAACAACGCCCCCGTCCTGTGTGTCCACTCCCACCTGGGGTACATGGACATGGTGGCTCTGCTGCTCGAGTTCGGCGCCTCTGTCGACGCCACGTCTGAAAGTGGTCTGACGCCGCTGGGCTACGCCGCCGCCGGGGGACACATGTCCATCGTGACTGCTCTTTGCCGCAGGAGAGCAAAGGTATGAAAGCGCAACAGATGACGCCAGCGCACGCCTCATGTGCTTCACTCGTGTGCCTGATCGAATCCCTGTCCCGTTAACAGGTAGACCACTTGGATAAGAACGGCCAGTGCGCCCTGGTTCATGCGGCGCTGAGGGGCCACATGGAGGTGGTGAAGTTCCTCATCCAGAGCGACTGGAGCATGGGGCCGCAACAGCAACAACAGTCACCACAGACACAACAACAGGCGGCGTTGACCAAGAGCCACGCGGTGCAGCAGGCGCTCATCGCTGCAGCCAGCATGGGATACACAGAGGTACGGGGGGGTGAGGTGATGGTGGTGATGATGAATGAAAATAATCAGGGTTTCAATCAGTGGTTTTATATCTGTCCCTTTATTCTTATTAAAAATCTTCATCTCTCTGTTCTTTAAGTAAACTTGGACGTTAATCTGTGTCACATCGACTCTTGTCCCCCCATCAGATCGTGTCCTACCTGCTGGACCTGCCAGAGAAAGACGAAGAGGAGGTGGAGCGGGCTCAGATCAATAACTTCGACACCCTGTGGGGGGAGACAGGTGTGTATACCTGCTGCAGCCAGACACCGATAACACCCTGAAATCAATACAGACGCACGACTGTGAATGGCTAACGCGTTGTGTAGTTGTGAAATCTTCAAACATATTGTAGATAGTGTGTATTTGTAAAGCATCTGTGGAGCGTTGTGTGTGCGCGCTGCAGTGCGGATGTGAGGGATCATGTGTGTGTGTGAGTGTGTGTTTGTGTGTGTGTCTGCTGCTGCGTCAGATGCTGCTGGCAGTGCAGTGGTGTCATCGGAGCAGAGAGGGGGCTCGGCTCACGCAGAGGAGGAGGAGGGGGAGGGGGTGATGGGGTGGGGATGGATGAGTGTGCTCGAGGGTGCTTAGATATGACGAGTCTGATTGCACTGTGGAAGGGTGTTGAGAAATATAATGTACCGTCGTAACCTGAAGCGATGAAAACCTCATTGCGAGCGTCACCCCCCCCCCCGCGGATGAGTCGGAGCGACTGCTCCTCGCTGCCAGGAGGAGCGGGGACGTGTTCTCATTCAGACGTCACCTCCTTGTTCAGCAGGGATCACAGGATAGTTTTTTTTGTTTCATCCGTGCGTTGTTGTGTAGGTCAACTGAAAACAGTGT